CTCTGGTGTCCAAAGTGATCGCTGTGGACGCGGACTCCGGACAGAATGCCTGGCTGTCCTATCATATAGTGAAATCCACTGATCCGGGCCTTTTCACTATTGGTGTCCACAGTGGAGAGATCAGGACACAGCGGGACATTTCTGAGTCTGACAGCATGAAACAGAACCTGATTGTGGCGGTGAAAGATAACGGACAGCCCTCTCTCTCTGCCACCTGCTCCATGTACTTACTGATTTCTGATAACTTGGCTGAGGTGCCAGAGCTGAAGGACATTTCTTATGATGAGAAGAACTCCAAACTGACCTCCTACCTGATCATCGCGCTGGTGTGTGTGTCCACCTTTTTTCTGACCTTCATCATCATCATCCTGGGTGTGAGGTTTTGTCGCAGGAGGAAGCCCAGACTGTTGTTTGACGGAGCAGTCGCCATCCCCAGCGCTTATCTCCCTCCTAATTACGCAGATGTTGACGGCACAGGAACTTTACGCAGCACCTACAACTATGACGCATACCTGACAACAGGTTCTCGAACCAGCGACTTTAAGTTTGTGACGTCATACAGTGACAACACACTGCCTGCTGACCAGACTCTGAGGAAAAGTCCAACTGACTTTGTCGATCCATTTGAAGATTTGGATCCATCTGTTGAGGTAGGAGCTGTTCATAAACACTTGTAATTTTTACCTAACTTTGTTCGTCCATATCCCTGCAGCTGCATCTACTTAATGTTATTCTCTATGCAAATTAATTCTTGAGCTTTGAGAAAGCACGTTCCCACTATTTGCTCATTCACCCATTTGCATGGCCAAGCACTAATGCATTCACACACCAGTGATATCACTGGGAGCAGTTTGGGGGTTCAGTGTCTTTCTTACGGACACTTCTACATGTGGAATTGAACTGCCAACCTTCCGGTTTGGAGGCCATCTTCTCTACCCCCTTAGACACAGCCAACACCTAGTGTTCAGCCTTGTGAAAATTACACATTATCTTAGCAAATATATTCACCGGTGTTGTTTAACAAAAAAAAAAAACATTTATTCATAATACATACATAAAGAAACTGATATTTTTAATGTCAGTCTTTGGTACACATTTAATCTACTAACAGTTATTGGAGCACTCCTCTGGAAACCTGGTATTCATGTTGAGTTGTTTTTTCATTCCTGACTGGGTCTTGGAGGGGGTATCAGTCCATGCTGTCCGAAATTTGCTTGCTCACTTGAGAAGTGATCACATAATTTAGCCCTAAGCTTTAGTATGTAGAAGCCTAAGCCTGTGAGATTGTTTGTCATTTGTTGTTGAATTCTTTCACAAAGCCAATATTCGCTGTCTCAAAAGGAAAAATCGAGTTTATTAAACAAAGGGAATACGGAATCATTGAGCTGTTTTTTGAACATTCTTTTTAGCAGTGACCTTGGGCTTGTTGGGAAGGTTCTATACGTTTTAATGAGAAAGTTTTGAATGAGTCATGTAGTAGCATGAAAACGAAGCGGTTCTCATTGTTTGCAGCGCTGATGTCAATCATCAGCACATGCCACAGTTTTTCACTTACCTGGAATGATTGCAACAATGCATTCTCTACTCCTAGTTGTGTGGCTAATGTGTTAGGTTTAAGAGTGAGTCAATTTTTCTTTTTTCAGCCTAACAGTAGACCAACTTAGGATATACAGCACCTCTCACCTGTGATTCAGGACCTTTTGAGATCTCAAGCTTTCTGTCTGTGGTGCTGAACCACTCATGCAGATGCTCAAGAGGCGCTGTGAATTTGTCATTAGGTATGCTGATAAATTTGAAATGGCTGAATAAGCAGTAATAATGTTATCTTTATACAATATTTACTGCATTTTATTTAATACTTTACAATTAAAAAAGATTAGCTCTAATTTAGAGTCACATTTATGCTTAAAAATTCAAGTTTAATTATAGAAGCACTGCTTTTTCTGATTTACTTTTTTCATCCGTAATTTACTAAAATGTTTATATCTGTGTGTTTTTGTAGTTAGGGCCCTTGCACTTTGCTTGAGTACCAGAGCTCTTAGCCAGAGCGCCCACCCAGTTTTATGTTGGTGTTATACAGTGCTGCACGTTAGTAGTTACATTTGTAATACATTTTTCAACATATGATAACATTGTATAATACAGTGTATTCCAAAAGCTTTAACCAGTTGTTCCTTTAAGTTAGAAGCCCATTACAAAAATGGAAAATGCAGCACATAACTGTCACATTTAAGGTGGCTGTCAGTTTGTAGTACTTCAAACAAAAAGAGAATCTGACTCTAAACTTGACATGGGATTGTGTTTAGATACATTTTTGAAGTTCAGGAAAAAAATCCAGATATTTATAAAGCGAGTTACAAGCTTTAGTGGAAGGATTTTTTACTCCTTTCCTGTTTTTATAATCATGTTATTGTTTATCAGTTTTACCTTTTGACCCTTTGGAGAGACTATAGTAGTTTAATCGGGTTCCACATCGAGCAGTTATAACTAAATGCTTATACACTGATGCATCAGTATTAACAATGTAATAGTTTATAATTATGTATACAGGTCACAGAGTACATTTTTTATAGACCAAAAACCTTTGCTTTAATTATTTTAAATACATTTTTGTACCAGTAGTTCTACTGCTTAAGTAACATGTTAAATTCAGGACTTTAACTTGTAATGGACCAAGTTCTATTTTCGATTTTGTACTTTTACCTAAGAGGATGATCTGATTACTTATTTCACCACTGTCCATGGTGCTGAACTTTGCAATAGTACAATAGACATATTTCAAGACATGTTGCTCTTTATTCATTGTAAGATATTGAGAATAATTCATTCAGATTTTGTTTTTTTTATGTGCGTTTTATCATTGTGACATTTCTCAGCACAGTACACAGTTTGTAGAGTCGTGAATGAATGGTGCCTTCAGTTCATTTTAGACTTTGTGAAGAATATTACCAAATAAAAGTGTGAAGATAAAAAGCGACTTATGGTGTCGCTGTTGGCTGGCAGATAATAGATATACACCACTCCACCCATTACTACTGAATGGATAGCACTTGTATTTTTTACCAGAGACTCGGTTAAATGCACAAGCATATTTTTGTGCCACTGGTGCGCAGCTTGGGATCAATGACTCTTATGAAAATATTTATAATTTAGATCTGGACAGTAAGCCGAAAACGTGTTTTCTGTCAGGATGGGAAACAAAGGATTATCAGCTATTCGTCCGATGCTGGGCTTCGTTTTCTTTCTTGTAACACTGCACCTCGTTTATGGAGACCTGAGTTATTCTGTCTCCGAAGAGATGAAACGAGACGCCGTTATTGGAAATTTAGCCAAAGATCTCGGTCTTGACCGCATAAGCATTTCTTCACGACAGGCTCGTGTTGATTTTGAGGACATTCGGAAAACCTATTGCGACATTAATCGGAGTACAGGAGAGTTGGTCACATCAGAGAGAATAGACAGAGAAAGCCTTTGCGGAAATAAACCATCCTGTGTGTTAAAAGTAGATCTGGTGTTAGAAAATCCTTTGGAGCTTCATCGTGTGAGTCTTCATATTCAAGATGTAAACGACAACTCGCCGCAATTCAAGGATCATTTGATTGAAATGGAAATAAGTGAATTGGCTGAAAAGGGAAGCCGATTTCCAATCGAGGAGGCCCATGATGCAGATATAGGTCAGAATGCTGTTCAAAGGTATATCTTGCAAAAGAACGACCATTTCATTTTATCAGTTGATAGCAAGAAGGTTGATCTTGTGCTGGAAAATAAACTAGATCGAGAGAAACAAAAAGAGATGAATTTGCTTCTCACAGCTTTGGATGGCGGCTCTCCTCAGAGATCAGGTACCGTAGTAATACACGTCACTGTGCTGGATGCTAATGATAACGCCCCAGTGTTTAGCCAGGCCGTTTATAAAGCCAGTCTGCCTGAAAATTCACCATTAGATACTGTAGTGATTACTGTCAGTGCTACGGACGC